AATCGCAAACGTCCGATTCGGGTCGTCAGATTTTCGTACGAATCGATGTTCATGGCCAAGTGCGTGTTGACGAGGACGCCCACACCGCCGCCTCTGCTGTCGCATGTTCCGAGGAACAGTTCTTCTCCAGTCTCGTACACGGCGTGTAGCGGGCGATGCCTCCTCGTCTCGGTCAGTCCGATGACGTCGTACTTGCAACATCAGATCTTCGATGTGAGCTTCCGATGCAAGCGTCCGTGCGTTGAAAGTACAGATCGTCATCCTAGTCCTGGGCGACTTAAATCTCCGTTGGCCCTGTGATTCTTGCAGCCTCGCCCGAGCGGTCCCAGCCGACGTCGCCCTGTCGGTGGTTCCCTCAGGTTCAGGGAATGAGGCCCATAATTATTACTGTTTTCGGCGAGAAGAAATTTGACCACGCGTAGCTCGCCAGGCTCTGACGTGGCACCCTCCGCATTGGTACGTTTTTGGAACAGTCCAAATACCGTTCGCATATGGATGACTTAAGCATCCAAGTCGGCTTCTGCATAGAAATCAACTTCTTCCAATAGTAAGAAAAGACAATAATTCAGTGTTATATTGTGCCTCACGAGGTTTTTAGGTGGAACATCCTACTTCACGCCATGTCAGCTCATCCACAATTCGTCAAACGTGCAGTTGTCAACAACATGCTGAGAACAGCAACGAGTATGTGCACAGGCGAAGCTGAACGTCAAGAATCACGACGTTTAGCATGTGAGATAGCTGCCAAGAACGGTTATACGGTACCACAGCGTCATGGAAGGCAGCGCACGAACACGCGAGAAAGTCCGCGCCAAAGCAAGTTGCCACTATGTCTTCCTTTCATCTCTGACAAGGTCACTGCTGCAATACAACGGAGCATTGCTAGAGCGCAGCTGCAAGATGCCGTTCAGTTAGTGAATATTCCTAACAACAGCATCAAGCAGCAGCTAGCGTGTGTTTATACTACTTTGCGGCAGCGTAGCGTAGCGTAGCGTAGCGTAGCGCAGCGTAGCGTAGCGCTTCCAGCGTACGCCAGCGGCAGTGCCGAAGAGAGGATGCATATCGATCTAGCTTCACCAGCGTCACCAGCGGCACGCTGGCGTACGCTAGCGGCACGCTAGCGTACGCCAGCGTTTCTCCAGCGTTTCACCAGCGTTTTGCTAGCGTTTGCAGCGGCAGGGGAGTAGAGACTATGGGAGAGCTGGAGGGTACAAAACACATCGATTGCGCGTCTCTCACTCGCCCTTAGTCTCTACAATGCACATCGCTTCTGCGTCTTCGACGGCCCCTTAGTCTCTACAATGCACATCGCTTCTGCGTCTTCGACGGCCCCATAGTCTCTACAATGCACATCGCTTCTGCGTCTCCGACGGCCACATGGTCTCTACAATACACGTCGATTCCGCGTCTCTCACGGCCACATAGTCTCTACTCCCCTGCCGCTGCAAACGCTAGCAAAACGCTGGTGAAACGCTGGAGAAACGCTGGCGTACGCTAGCGTACGCTAGCGTGCCGCTGGTGACGCTGGTGAAGCTAGATCGATATGCATCCTCTCTTCGGCACTGCCGCTGGCGTACGCTGGAAGCGCTACGCTACGCTGCGCTACGCTACGCTACGCTACGCTACGCTGCCGCAAAGTATAAACGCAGCCTAAAACGTGCAGTTGTCAACAACATGCTGAGAACAGCAACGAGTATGTGCACAGGCGAAGCTGAACGTCAAGAATCACGACGTTTAGCATGTGAGATAGCTGCCAAGAACGGTTATACGGTACCACAGCGTCATGGAAGGCAGCGCACGAACACGCGAGAAAGTCCGCGCCAAAGCAAGTTGCCACTATGTCTTCCTTTCATCTCTGACAAGGTCACTGCTGCAATACAACGGAGCATTGCTAGAGCGCAGCTGCAAGATGCCGTTCAGTTAGTGAATATTCCTAACAACAGCATCAAGCAGCAGCTAGTTCGAAACAGGCTCTACGACAAGCAGTGCATAATGGAAGGGTGTGTCATTTGTCCGTACGGAAAAATCGGTGATTGCGCACAAACGGGCGTGATCTACCAGATTGAATGTCGGAATGCACCTATATCGGAGAAACAGGAAGACCGCTTGCTAAACGTATAAAAGAACATCTAGCCAGCATGAGGCGCGGTAATCTTACGACAGCGCTTGGGAAGCATAAAGCGGAGGTGCATAACGGCGACAACTTTGCGATAAAGTGCACAATATTGGCGCAGGAGACGGATATTGCGGCTAGGAAGGCATTAGAGGCGTTTTGGATTTCTGTCAGAAATCCTCGCATGAACAACCGAGACGAGCGTCCGTCAATTTCCAATGACCTCCTGTCGTTCATTCCGTATTGCGAGCTATAAAGTCACCAGTGCTACGTGCATCTCGGCGTTTCGATACGTATAAGGAGACGCTATATGCAGTGAGTCTCATTCGCTACTGGTTGACTTATGGGATAGCGGATTTCCGCGTCTACGGTGGAACAGAGGTGAGCGCCTTCGTGTTCTGTTGTTGTGTGAGATTCTTGGTTGAGTTGGCGGGGTAGTGCACATCTCTTAACCTCGAAACACTTTTAGGCCTCTGAAGAAGACGATTAGTCGAAACGTCAGGCCGTTGAATAAATAGTTCCACCTAAAAACCTCGTGAGGCACAATATAACACTGAATTATTGAAAACTAACATGCCGAGGTTACAAGAAGAGAGAAGCTGGAGAATATAAGAAAGGACAATCTTTGTAAAATGGGAGAAAAATTACCAGAAAACACACGAAAATTTTCGTATTATGACTTGTATATTACTTGCACCAGCCGGCTTCGCCGGCTGACACCGGCGCGCCTCCTTCTGAGATACAGCACGGCTTCGTCGAGCGGGCGCGGCTCCGCCGCGCTTACCTTCTTCCACACATTTCATTAGCCGCCTAGTATCAGGCTTTTCTTTTACCTGAACAGGATGGTCAACATTCTTTGACCAATAGCATCATACCTGCTACTTTCAACACTATTACGGTGTATGGAGTGGTGGTAAGGAGCGTTGATCAAGTGGACAGATGAGAGAAAAGCCGGGTATTAGTCGAGCATTTGATCATACGAATGCAGGTAGGCGCGATGGAGCCACGCCCCGCAAAGCCGGGCCGTATCACAGAGGAGGTCTGGAGTGCCTGGAGTGCTCTGGAACCGCTTGAAGAATTTTCAAGACTGGCCCCGCCCACCTCGACGCACGCTCCGCCCACAGCGGGTGTGCCTCACACTTGTGAACCGGTGACCCCTCAATGACCTTAAACTACTTTTTCCCGGTGTCTGGAGTATTCTGGAACCGTTTCAGGAATTTTCGAAATTGGCCCTGCCCACCTCGCCGCACGCTCCGCCCACAGCGGATGTGCCTCACACTTGTGAACCGATGACCCCATAAAAGGCGGGTGTCAGCCGAAGGGAGCATGCTCATCTCTCGTCTAGTAGGCTTCGTTCTGGTGAACGAAGCTGAAGCTCTTTCGCCTACCCCCCCCCTCCACCTTCTCCCTGTGATACGGCCTATGTGGCCATAAGCCTGTGTGGCTTTCTAAGGGGCCAGTGGGGCCCAGTGACTGGGTTAGTAGCCACGACATGGACGACTCTCGGCGCCTTTCGCCTCCACGCCGACCACCTGCGGTTCGACTGCCAGCCGACTCCTCCCTCCAGCGTCTAGTTTGCCTATTCTTTGTATCTTGTTTTTATCACTCACCTGATCGTTCGTTCGCCTGTTGTTCGTTTGTACTGATAAATTATTTAGTTCTTAACTGTCTTGCTACCTAGACATTACTGTGGCTATTCCCGTCCAGTTGATCACGAACCAACTGGACTTACATGGAGGCCGAACCATTCAACTGAGGCGGCCACAGTAGTCAAGTCAGCGAGAGGTTGAGCAAGCACTCTGCTGTGAGTAGGAGGGCTGAAGTGGTATAGCTCAAGGGCAACTGGTGATTGCGGTAACGGCGCCAGGGACAGGAGAACGCCTGCATCGTACCAAGAAGCAAGGAGACCCATGTCGGGTTTTACCACTGAGCGATAGTTCGTATATTGCATTGCGTTCAATTGCATTTTCGTGGCATAATGATTAAGGATTCAGATAATGCTACAGATTTCAAAATGAGTACAGTGACTGGCGATGACCGCATGTACGAGAACGTGCCACCTTAGGAGGTAAGCAAGTTATATGAGCGGCGGTCAGGCAGGAACGGGGAGAGATAGTGGAAAGAGGTTGCCTCTTTGCCCCCTATTCTCAGTGAAGGGCATCAGAGGATAATGGCTATAGTGGGTGAGTCGAAGGCATCCAAACAAGCCAAAACAGACCTAGAAAGTGAGTGGGTCAAGATGGTGGAGGCAGTAGATAGAATTGGCAAGAAGTGCATTGACAACTCATCCTCAGCCGGGGGCTCTTTGGAGTTCAGTAGCTGGAACGCTACCCGAGCGGGGGAGAGAGTAAGGAAGAAAGGAAAGAGTATGTGATAACGATAGAGCGGGACGGAGAAATAATAGCAGAATCTGTGATATGTTGAAAGTGAGCGCTTTCCAGATCAAGGATTTTGTCGCGGGCCTTCTGAAGCATGGAGAGGACAACAAAGGCGCAGGTTGGTCTATCAGAGCAGAGTCTGCTAATATGAGAACCAGGGTGATTCCTTGCAGGCGAACCACTATTCGATTGGTCGGAGATCTGTGGGCTCGCCTCGATGGCAACAGTGCCGATGAGGGAAAGCTCAGGTACGGATGTTAACGTACAATTAGTAAACTATCTGCGATCTCTGGCGTGTGCTGATCCTGGGGTTTTCAAGGGCAGCCAGGAACGAAAACTTCAAGGAATTTATAAGAAAATTCAGGAGGAAGTATGAAAGCGTAGTCAGTTGTGAGGCACCCTGGTAAACATCTTAGGGGATGAAGATTTAGGGGGTCGAGACAAAAGTATTTTCGTAGCGCTGCCGAGGTTTGTAAAGGAACAAGGGGCTTAATGCAGTCATAGAAGAAATGAGCAGGCTTTTGGCGCAAGACTCGACAGCGGGGAGGCTCAGGGCTATAACAGAGTTAAGAAGTCTAAGAATGAGGCCCAACCAAGAGGTTGCTGACTTCTGCGTAGCAATGGAAAGGCTGGGTCAGCAGGCAAATCCGGATAGCACGATCGAAGATCGATCGTTGGAGTATGCGCAAATCCTTCTGGATAATCTTGCGGAATGGCCGGGACGCTCGTAGGTACCTTGCATAAAGTGAGTCAAGGAGGGTTTACGACGAGATAAAGCAACTAGCACTGAGCATTGAGCAGTCGAGGCTTATGTTAGACGTCAACAAAGAAAACAGCTGCACTACGCTGGAGGGGCAGGTTTGCCCATTATCATGAGGCGCGAAGGTAAAGGACCGGATCAGGCAGAAGAGAGGAGTGCAAAGGAGCTTCCAAGTGGTGATGCGCACACAGGGGAATTTGCTCGCGAGTGTCCACAGCGAACAACCAGGGTAAACAACTGATTATGAGAGAACCCCAGCCTGATACTAAGGAGAAGACACTGTCGTCCATTATTAGGCAGGCTAGATGTATGGGCCTAAGGGTTGAAGACAAACGGGAGATGGCAGGGAAGCTTATAGGCCATCGAATCACAGTCCTCTTTGGACGTGATGGGTCAAAAATGCCAGGCATTGATAGATACGGGATCGATGATCAGTATTATCCCGGTGGAACTGCTGGCAGAGATTCAGGATCAAGGCTTTGATGTGGATACCTTGGTGATGATACCCAAAGAGAAGCTTAAGCCGGTTTTGATGCGTCAAACCGCAGAATGGAATTCCTAGCAGCTGTCTATATTCCAGTTAGCCTTAGTAGACGGTGAGGCACGCGAGGTAGCGTTTCATGTAAGCTCAGATAGGCAGAGCAAGGTGATACTGGGAACAAATTCTCACCATTACCTGGATATATGTTTCTTTCAACGGCATGAGAGCAATGTCATGAAGGAAGAACCTGCGACGAGAAACGTAGTAGTGGCGGAAAGGTTTACACACCCTCGAGAAATAGAGCATTAGTAGAGGTGTGCGAAGGGGAAAAGAACGGTGTGGCGAGAGGGTGATATGGCCAAGTAAACATGGTCTACCTGCTGGAGTTTACGCTATCAGGGAAAGGAAAACGGCAATGCCTATAGTCAACAATAGTGATCAGCCAATGCTTTGAGTAAAGGCGAGGAAGTCGGATATTGGGATACAGACAAATGGCATGAAAGATGGGAAGACTTGAATCCCCTTATGTCGGAGGAGGAAGGAAGTAAGCTGAGAGGGCCTGAGAGAACGCGCCGATTGATAGAGCTAATAGCTGGAAACATGGAATCTGAGAGCATGGATGGAGATATCCAGGAATTGCTGGAAAAGTTTGCTGAGACCTTCTCGTTTCTAACAGTGAGCTTACTCAAACACTTGTGAAAATGACTATTGATACGGGAGATTCTCCGCCAATAAAAATGAAGGCGAGACCGGTGCCGTTGGGGGAAGGCCCAAATTGAAAGAGCTACTAATGGATCTGGTTGAGAGGAATGTGATACAGGGCACATCATTGGTTGGGGATTTTGGTCGAGCCCGTACGACCCCCCCCCCTCTTTTTACGGCTTGGTTTTTTCTCCACAGAAATATGTACACTACGAGGGTTTTTGTAACACAAGCTGATATCACATGACATACAGACAAAACAGGCAGCGCTTTTCCAAGTCAACATACCATGGAACGTTACCATTGATAGCTTCAAAAGTCAGTGGAGATTTCTTGCTTTCGGAGACGCCTAGCGCATAGCTAACCTGGACTAGAGACTGCAGCGCTGCAAATGCTGAGATGAAAGTTTGGATTCAGAGCTTTGCTGAACAAAATATTGCTAACCAGGGAAGGTCGCCAACTTACCATGGAACTTTGGAAGGAGACCTAGGTGGGTTGATAGAGTCTATAAGGCTATTAACAAATTTCGATAGCAAAACTGCAACGGGCACAAGGAAGTTATGAGCAGGTAAAGTTTGTAATGGTGTAGTCGGGTGGAGGCTCGGTGGTGAGCTGATAAGCATAGCGAGGATCGCCACATTGAAAAACGAGTCGTGGTACTTCAGTGGTAAAGTTCTCGCTTCGAGTCGCATCATGCTGGTTCGATGCCCGGAAGGCGCTGGTGTTTTTGCATTCCCGCTTTTACCTAATTTCTTGACCTGCATACGGGACAACACCTAGCCATCATTTGATTCACGTTGTCCTCAATTTACTGCGGAACTGGGGCATGGAATTTACTGCTCCACTGTGTTTACCTAATTTTACAAAACCCACCAAGTACTTGGCGGTTTTGGGGCAAGCGAGGGTAGACCCAACCGGACAGTGCCGATGTGATCTACCACGATGGCGCGCGTGGCACTGATTTATCATCAGTCGCCACTTTCTCTCAACACAGGTGGTTTCCATTCTGCAAAGGTAGTTTTTCATGACAATATCGGGTTGGTCAAAGCGGGCCACTATTGAAACTACTCCTACCCCATAGAACTCAAAAAATTTCTTTCGCTCAAGCGTCGCCCAAAGATGTAATTCGATGCGCTTATCACGAATGTCCCATCCGTTTGAGCGCTGCGTCCATTTGCGCCATAGCGCCAAGACGATAAGCGACTTCGTAATTTACATTCTTTTAGGCAACGCTTGAGGGAAAATTTTTTGAGTTCCATGGGGTAGGAGTAGTTCAATAGTGGCCCCGCTTTGACCACGATTATTTCAGAAAACTACCTTTGCAGAATAGAAACCACCCTGATGCGGAACTCAGAAGTGGCGACTTGATGATAAAAGCAGTGCCCACGCGCGCCATTCGTGCTATCACATCGCACTCCTGTCCGGGTGGGTCTACCTCGCTTGCCCCAAAACCCGCCAATACTTGGATGTTTTTGCCTAAAAGTTAGGTAAACACCAGTGCGAGCCAATAATTGCCATGCCCCAGTTCCCACATTAAATGAGGACAACTGTCGAATTCCCAAACTTTGTGAATTTGAGCTAGGTGTTATCCCGGACGCATTCAAGAACAGATTTAGGTAAAGCGGGAATGCAAAAACACCAGCGCCTCCGGGCATCGAACCAGCATGATGCGACTCCGAAGCGAGAACCTTACCACTGAACCACCACGACTCGATTCGACATATGCGATTCCTCGCTTATGCTTCACAGCTCACCACCAAGCCTCCACCCTACTGCACCATTACAAACTTTACCTGCTCATAACTTCCTTGTGTGAATGCCCGTGCAGTTTTGCTATATTCTAAATTTTGTTAAATAGCCTTATAGACCTATCAACCTAGTCTCCTTCCAAAAGTTCCAGGTAAGTTGGCGACCTTCCTAGTAAGCGGCAATCTGAGAAAACTTCAAAGATGGAAAACTCCAAGTGCTCAAACACCTTGTTCGAGAGCTCCAATGAACCAAACACCAGCCCATAAACTGTCTTTCATGGGGTACGAAGGAAAAAGTGCTTGGAGTTAATCAACTCTTATGGTTGTCACGCACCTGACCACTGCTAATTCTTGACTAATTACTGATCTCTTTTGGAGCACGGTCAGCCTAAATGATTTATGCGAAAGCAGATTTCACTAAACAGCTTAGAAGTCACACAAGAGAAGATTGAGACTCGTATTGGGGACCTTTATAGGATAAGGGGTAGGGAGCGAATCATTCACAAGGACCGATCAGAAGCTATACTAAAACCTAAAGCTGCACCAGCTGCACCTTCTTATACTCGAAATCCCTGAGATCGGGTAGGTGTGGCTGCATCCTTGAACTTAACCTGAAGGAGTCTACGCCTCTGGTAAGATATTTTCATCCTGACAAAATTGTTTTCGTGTCTTGTCCAACACAGAACAAGATGACAGTTGTCATAGACTGGAATATTACACGAGTAACCAGTTCCGTGCCATGTTCAAATGCCACGCCTACCCTGGCTCAGGGATAAGGAGTGTAAGTGAGCAAAACTTCTGGAAACGACTTTTGACAGCAGCTTGCTAGATTCCTACTTTCAAAGTAACAAACAAAATGGAATGCAACTGAAAAGTAGCAAATTTGATTTCCGATCAGCAAGCATGCCATTCCACCTATCGGTTAACTGGTACCATGAGTATTCACGAAGGGAGATTACTTCCTGGTCATTTTGGTTAGCGGGAGGGAAACTTGGACAGAGTGTACTGGAAAGTAGGCAATGGGCGGAGTAACGCAAGTATATTGTGGCTCAACAACATTATTCACGCAGACAATTACTTGCAAAGACAAGATTCAGTTTTCAGCGTCTGAGAATGGATGAATGAAACGGCCGACTAAGTTGACGCAATGAAAGGTTTTCAGGAAAAGTTCCAAGTGAAGAGAGCATGATAGAGAGACCTGAAAGGGAATTCACTTTCACGCGGAACTTGCAGAAGAAGAAAATACGTCTATCAATTCCAAAAACCGCGGAATAGGGAGAAATGCAGAAATGCGGAATCTGCAGATTCTCCATTTCTCCCCAATTCGCACCGATCGGCAGAAACAATCGACCTACCTAATAACCTAAACTTATTAAGCCAGCAGACTCATAGCACGAGTTTTACAGGCGCAAGTCGTCCACTTCGTTGTGGGACCACGCGTCCCTTTAACTCATTTGAATTAGGATACTTCAATAAGAGCGGTTTTTGTGAGATTACCGCTCTTGTGCGTAATCATAGTTAACAGGCGCAGTTTATTCGATAGGCGGGCATTTGCTTCCATAGATGTGCCGGACCCATCTAGGTAGCGTTTCTTCGCCGAGTTGACACGTTTTGGGATGGTGTCTAGACGATCCTGCTCCAGCTTCACAAGAGTTCACAAGTTTCACCAAAATGAGAATTGCAAACCGGAACAAGGGAAGCAGTGATAGTACGAAATCCCCTCCCCCCGCCCCGTCGATGAACAGCGCCTAGTTAACATTTTCTAGATCAGCTTCTGCTTCGAAAGGCTCATGAAAGTGGATACTGACTTACCGGTTTCGTGCTTTGGTAAGTGCATACTGCTTTTGGCTTTGTGGATTGGTTCCGGAGCTTCCGCATGAGCAAGAGTGGCTCCCATGTTTGTACTCGGGCTGCTCTCGTTCACCTGCAGAAGGGGGTGGGAGGATACAAGTAAGAGCGTTATTATGTTGTGGACTGCGTTACAATGGGCCTGGTTATAAGCATGAATATCTGCCAATGATCCTGAAGAGTTAATTCACGTTTTCACGCAGCTGTACTCTTCTCCATTATAGCTGCATTTAAAACATTGTGCTTATGTTTCGCTGGAATTCGTTTACCATTCCGGCCTGTGAATTGCAGTGAATCTAGATCTAACAGAGACTAGTTGTTGTCTTCTAAACAACAGTTCTTTCCCTCGAGAGCTCTCTAAAACTGAGCGAGTCAAAAGTGTCTCCAAACCACATGTCAAGCGGAAATTTTCGCGAGCCAGACATCTAACAAAGCCCTTCTAACAGCGGTTTTGTGCACAGAATACCGAAGATAGGATGTAGATCGAAATCCAACGCTGAGTGGCAGAACTTTTAAAAATGGTGGCACCCCACGGGATATAACCCCTAAAACAAAAGATGCACTTGAAGTGTTCAAGTTTCCGGTTGCACCTCAGGTTTCATGTTTCCTAATCTAAGCAGAAGCAGATCTCGAAAATATTAACTGTGATTACGCACAAAAGCGATAATCTTGCAAAAAAACGCTCTTATTGAAGTATCCTAATT